TTTTTTTTTTTTTTTTTTTTTTTCCAACTCCTTTTGAAATGAATCCTTAGTTTGGTTTTTTGTTGATGTTCCTTGTAATATTAGCGTATCCTTTCGGAGTATCCACATATACGTCTGCCCCGTCAACTAAAGGATAGGCTGCTCCAGGAGATGGAAAACTATGTTCTTGAATGTATCAGGGAGAAAGAAAATGAGAAATTCCTCCTACCAGAACTCATCAACATATGTGCTCTTTTATCTAATTTCATGTACTGTTCATACTCATCAAGGTTAGACTTCTCCTTTATCTTTGTTTAAATTGGTTTTGTTCATTAACAGTCAGGTGGAAAATCTTCTCATCTGCTTCAAGCATGTTTGATGGGTTGTGCATTTTTTTTTACTTACTCCCTTGATTAATACTAACATTGTTCAAATGTTGCACTTGCAACTTTTTTGTGTTTGTATTACTCATTAGAACTTTACTTATTTGTTCCTCTGTGTTAGAATGTTTGTCCCACATTGTTTAGTTATTGGGCTGCTATCGTGTATACGTGTGAGTTGGGCACCCTCTCCCTTTGAGCTAGCTTTTGGGGATGAGTTCTGTGCAAGCCATTTATCATGGTATCAGAGCAACCAAATTTGTTTGTTTGGAGGCGATTTTGCCTTTTGGAATTGGTTTGGCATGCTAAGCATGAGAGCTGGTGTTAATAGTTATGTTTGTCCCGCATCGATTAGTTACTGGGCTGTTATTGTTTCGGTTGGGCACCCTCTCCCTTTGAGCTAACTTTTGGGGATGAGTTCTATCCAAGCCCATTTATCATGATATCAAAGTACCCTGGTTTTGTTTGTTTGGGGGTGATGTTGGGTTTGGACCTGGCCCATTTGGTTTTGACACACTGCGCATGCGCGTGAGGGTGGGTGTTAGAAGTTATGTTTGTCCCACATCTATTAGTTATTGGGCTGTTATCGTTTATAAGTGTGAGTTGGGCACCCTCTCCCTTTTGTGCTAGCTTTTGGGGATGAGTTCTAATTATCTTCTTGTTATTACAATGCTGGATTTGCCTTTCCTAATGCCTGATTTGTTCCCTTGAGGTCAAATGTGAAGAAATATTCTGATATATCGCGTTGCTGTGTTTATTCTTACTCGTTAGGATCAGTTTACTGATTTTACCTGCAATCTCCTTTTTTTTTTTTTTTTTT